AAAATTATTATTGAAATGGTATTATTCCTTCAAAAATAATTTTATTTTATTATCTTTAGGATATTGATAGCATGTTTGAATTCATGTAAATATATGTAAATTCATGCTTATTTTAATACTACTGCGTATAAATTTTACGGTGAAATCATATTTACAGATTCGTTGAAGTTTTAATGCTAATTCACCCATTAGAGATGTATTCTATGTAATACATTTTGGTGTAACTACTGCTGGTTGTTGTAATAAATTATTTTTATTTCTTTCTTTTTCTCACACACTAAATTTAAGGGGAAAAAGTTTATTCCCTCTTCTCTTTCTTTTTCTCTTCTAAATAAACTAAAAAAAATTGATTTTTCCCCTTTTTAAGCAATACATTGATAAAATTGTATGTAAAATGCTACAAATTCACAAATATAAGAATAAAACACAACACTTACGAATGTGATGTTTTTCTCCTTTTGCACCTTTTGATGGAATCGCCATTCCATTCAGAGAGTGACGAATTCAAACTATAAGATGATCGATATTGACCATTTTCGGAAGAATAACAACAAAAGCAAGTCATGAATGGATTTTTTTTAAAAATGATTTTCGCTCTTTTCTTTACAAACATTTAAAAATAGAAAATAAAATAAAAAGGTGACAATTTTATGATTAAAATTAAAAACAGAAAATAAAAATACAAAATATTTTCTTAACCAAACAACCATTTAAAGGGTATGAATGATCAATACGAAACATCTCCAATTTAAACTTCTAGAAAAAAAAATAAAAAACCAATGAAGCCTGAAAAACCTTAGTATGAAGTAGAAGAAACTCAAAAATTTCATTGGCGTGAAAGAAATTCTAAGAAAACAAAACATCATGTCCCCTCCAATTCCCTCGTAAAAGAACACTCTTTGTGTTCCTCACAATCCAAGTTATATTTAACAAAGCTATTGTGTGTTGCCACAATCTAAGAAGAAATGTAATTAAGCAAAATAACAACGACATGTGTATTCAAATAAACCTTATATTATTTCATCATAATGCCCCCCAAAACATTATGTGAACAAGCTGGAGAAGAAGATCTTCAAATCCAAAATCTGTCTTCTTCAGGACCACGCCAAATAAATTATACTGGCTAAACTAAATTTTATTGTGCTAAAAAACGCTATTAAAAATGCGTTAAGAGATTTTTTTTTCAAATATTGTTTTAAATTAATCATTACTATATATATGGAGGGAGGTGAGTATTCTGATTAATTATAAAAAATTGCGTTGAAATCGCTTATGTCAATAATTAATTTAAAAAAAAAAAACCTATTGTTATGACCAAATTAATTTATGGCAGTGCCACAAAATATTAGCTTGCTCATGTCATGGAATGCATCTTATCAGCAAACCATCTACTCCAATTTTGAATAAATAAGGATTTTCCCAAACATAGAATTTATTATCATGAAGAAATTTTTTTCTCTGCTGCCAGCTTATCCTTTTTGGGAGGTGTTGAGTAGTCTTGAAGTTTGTTATAGCAGCAAACCAAGGTATTTCTTCCACACTTAACAGCGTTTCTTCAGAAAATTCTTCATTTATATCCAGGGAATTTGAGGTTAGACTTTCCAATAGAATTCTAGATAATTGATCAGCCACACCATTATCTTTCCCTTTCTTGTTTCTAATCTCCAATTCAAACTCTTGAAGTAGCAAGATCCACATTAAGAGTCTTGGTTTAACATCCTATTTGGAAAGTAAACATTTTAGAGCAAAATGATCAGTGTAAACTATAACTTTTGAACCTATCAAATAAGATTTTAACTTGTCAAAAGCAAACACAATAGCTAGAAGTTCTTTTCTAGTTGTTGTGTAATTAATTTGCGCAGAATTCAAAACTTTACTAGCATAATAAATTTCATGCATCTTTTTCTCTTTTTCCTGTCCCAACACAGCACCTACTGGACTATCACTTGTATCACACAATAATTTAAAAGGTAGGTTCCAATCATGTTTTAGAAGTATAGAGGCAGAAATGAGTTTTTCTTTTAAAGTAGAAAAAGCATGCAAACATGATTCATCAAATACAAATTTTGCATCTTTCACAACTAAGTCACTAAGAGGTTTGAAAATTTTAGAAATATCCTTAATAAACCTCCTATAGAACCCTACATGGCCTAAGAAACTTCTAATTCCTTTCATATTCACAGGTGAAAGCAATTTACTAATGACTTCAATTTTAGCTTAATCAACCTCCATCCCTTTTTCAAAAATCTTATGACCCAATTCTATCCCTTCTTTTACCATGAAATGACATTTCTCCCAATTTAAAACCACATTGGTATCTTAACACCTCTGCAAAATAGTAGACAAATTAGTCAAGCAATCATCAAAGGAATTTTCAAATACAGAAAAATCATCCATAAACACTTCAATGATTTTCGCAACTAAATAAAAAAAAAGAAAATATACACCTTTGGAAAGTGGCTGGAGCATTACAAAGCTCAAAAGACATTCTTCTAAATGCAAATATTCCAAAAAGACATGTAAAAGCAACATTTTGATCAATCGGATCCACAACAATTTGGTTATAACTAGAATAACCATCAAGGAAGCAAGAGAAGGAATGACCAGCCAGCCTTTTCAACATTTGGTCTACAAAAGGTAATGAAAAGTGGTCTTTTTTGGTCACCTCATTTAACTTCCTATAATCTATGCACATTCTCCACCCTATGACTGTTCTTGTGGGTATTAATTGATTCTTCTCATTTGGTGCAATGGTCATTCCCCCTTTCTTGGGAACTACTTGGACTAGACTTACCCAATTGTTGTCCAAAATAGGATAGACAATTCCAGCATCTAAAAGTTTCATGACTTCTTTCCTTACTACTTCCTTCATGGAAGGATTTAGCCTCCTTTAGAGCTGCACAATAGGCTTATAATTCTTCTCACATAGAATTCTGTGTTTGTGAGAGGCTGAATTTATGCCTTCCAAGTCTGAAATATTCCAACCAATTGCTGACTTGTGGGCTCTCAGAATTTGAAGTAATTTTTCTTCCTCCTCCCCCTTGAGATCATTACTAATTATGGCCGAATTTTCATGATTATGGTCCAAAAATGAGTATCTTAAGTGAAAGGGCAGCTATTTGAGCTCTAGCTTCTCAGCATTTTCTTCCTTTGCTTCACTTTTTAATTCTTCCTTTGCTAGATTTTCTGTGGAAGGGAAAATTGGCAACGCCTCCAGCTGTTGCACATATTCCATGAAGTATTCTTTTTTTTTTTTATACCAGAATGGAGATCACCTGCAGCTATGATTTCTCTTAACATAGAAACTTCATCATTATCATTAATATAAGGAGGGAAATTAAGAGAATCCAGTACATCAACTCTCATACATATGCTATCCCCTTTTGCACATCAACAAGAGCTCTCCCTGTGGCTAAGAAGGGTATGCCCAATATGAGTAGGATATCAACATCAACTTCCATGTCTGGAATGACAAAATCTGTAGGAAAAATCAACTTGTCAATCTTAACTAACAAGTCTTCTACAACTCTATAAGGATAAGTGTATGATCTGTCTACAAGTTGTAGAGTAATAGTAGTTGGTTTGACTTTTTCAATTCAAAGCTTTCTTATGATTACAAGGAGCATAAGATTGATGCTTGCTCCTAGGTCACACAAAGTTTTTCCCACAGTACAATTTTCAATTGAACATGGAATACTAAAGGAGCCAGGGTCCTTTAGTTTTTGAGGGAGTTTCCTTTGCAGAATAGCACTGCATTCTTCTGTGAGAGGTATTGTTTTATCATTCTCCAATCTTCTTTTCTTTGATAACAGATCCTTCATGAATTTAGCATATGAAGGCTTTTGCTTCAAGGCTTCAGCAAAGGGAATATTTATTTGTAGCTTCTTGAGAACATCGAGGAATCTTTCAAATTGTTTCTCTTACTTTGGATTTTGCACCCTTTAAGAATAGGGAAGCCTCTTGTATTTCTCTTCATCTATGGGTTAACAAGCCTCCTCAAACAGTTGTTTCTTTGTGTCTTCCTTGCAGATTTAGGAAAAGTCACTTTATTTGAATTTTCTCTTTTCAACAATGTAAAATTTCCTTCATACAAATCTATTTTTAATTTCTCATCTGCTGTAGAATTGCTAACTCTTTTTTCTACAGGTTTAGGACTACCTACCACAGCTCCACTTCTAGTAATTACAGCTTGACATTGTTCTTTAGAATTAATCATTTTATTACTAGGAAATCTTTCTTCATCTCTATTGGACAATTGTTCAGCTAGCTGTTTAATATGAATTTCTAGCTTTTTCATTGAAGATTCTTGATTTTTAAACTAGTTTGGGTGACTTTCATGAATTATGGCATAGTTTCTTCTATCCTACTCATCCTCTCAGTCATAGGCTTTAAAAATTTCTGATTTCTTTGAGGTTGAGCAGATGAATTGCCTTGAAAGAATTGTTGTTGTTATGTTGGTCCTTCATTTGAGAAAGGAATAGATGAGTTAAAATTTTTCATTGTAGAATTTTGATAATTCCAATTATAAAACTGTTGAGTTCTGTTGTTCAAATATTGAAATCTAGGTGGAAACATTGACTGTTGTCTCTAAAAATTTTCCATGTAAATAATTTGTTCTTGTGGTTCAGGTGCAGGTGCATCACATGGACATTGACATGATTTCCACAATAAAAATCACATGTCAACTGAGTACTCTGAACTGGTCCATCTTGAAGGTTGCTAATTTGTTGAGTTAAAGCAATAATCTGTTCAGAAAATAATTGGTTCTGCAGCTGATTCTGCACAAGAAAGTCTCTAGAGCCTTGGCTTCGTATCCATTATTTCTCAAATCATGTCTTGAACTAAAATTCTGTTACATTGATGAAGCCATCATTTCAATAATTCTCTGAGATTCCTCTAGAGATTTAGTATTTAAAAAGCCTTCTACAGTTGCATCTACCATAGTCCTTGTTGCTGCATTCATTCCATTGTAAAATGTCTATAGCTGCATCCATTCAGGAATACAATGATGTGGACACCTCCTTTAGAGCTCCTTGTATCTCTCACAAGCCTCATATAGTGATTCTCCTTCTTGTTGTATAAAGGATGTGATCTCTCCTCTCAGCTTGGCAGATTTGGATGGAGGAAAATATTTAGTTAGGAACTTGTTCATAAGGTTTGTCCATATAGTGATGCTCCCTTGAGGTTGAGCTTGCAGCCAACATTTAGCTTTATCTCTTAAAGAATATGGGAACAACCTCAGTCTCATAGCATCCTCACTCACTCCATTCATTCTGATTGTATTATATAACTGCAAAAAATTAGACATATGTAGGTTATGATCATTAGAAATTCTACCAGAAAATTGATCTTGCTGAACTAGATGAAATAAGGTAGGTTTTATTTCAAAATGATTGGCATGTATGGTTGGTCTGACTATGGAAGAATTATATCCTTACATGTTTGGTACAACATAATGTCTCAAAGTTTTCATTCTATTCTTGTTAGCTATCCTGAATTCTTGAGGTTTTTGTTGTGTAGGAGAAGTAAATTGAAGTTCAACCGATTTTCGTAGAGAAGGTGTAGATTCCAACTCTTAGTCTTTACTTGCTGAATTCTTTGCTCTTATTTCATTTCTAAATCTCCTTAAAGTTCTGTCAATGTCTGGATAAAATACAAGAGCAACTTTATTTTTATTTTTACCTCGCATAAAACATAAAGAAACTAAACAAGAATAAAAGCAAAGTAATCAAGATATGAAACAACTTAATGCAAAAATTTCAATAACAAAATATTCTAAAAGAATTAAGAAAGTAAACTAACATGTGAACATCTACACTAAACATAGTGTAATATTCATAAAAAGAAGTATGCAAAATTGATATAAAAGGGTGAACATTACGCATAATTAAATTCAGAATAACATGTACGACAAAAAGCAAAATGAAATTACAAATCTTAATTATAAGAAACAGAAAACAAAAGCTTAATCTAACTATTATTTTTTTTACTACTAATATTGAAAATATGCAGATCCCCAGCAACGGCGTCAAAAACTTGTTACCTTTGCTGTGTGTGCACTAAAATAATCTAACTAGCAAGTATACTAATGTAGTTGTAGTAAGTTATAAAATTTTTGAAAACAAAGTTGTGTCCCAAGTATCGTCTTCAAGGATCACAGTTATCAATTATCACTTCACAAATTAACACTTAGTTGAGCAATACAATTGATTGGAGAGTTTGTATTTTGTAAAGATAAGAAATAACAAATATAGAAAGCTGTAAAATCTGTAAAACAGAGTTATGAAATTTGTATTGAGATGACATGTCGAATGGAGTTAGGAATTACCGCATCAGATTTTTAATTACAATTTAATCATGTTCTGGACTCTTGAGTACTTTAATTGATTGATAATTAATTTTACTTATTTAATCAAAGGACAATTCTTTGACTCAATGATCCTAATGTTTAACTTAACTACCCTAATTCCTTAGGTGTAATTTAATTCAATATTGCATTAAGCATTAGAAATTATATCATTACAATATTATGAATGTTTATCCCTAAAATATCATTAACCTTGGCAATTGATTCAGATATAAGAAACTAACTCAATTTTCATTGATAAAAATTCCTCTAAGTTCAATTCAATTGAATGATCAATCCAACAATTGCATTAAAAACATAATCAAATGCTCAATTCAATTAAAATTCCAAGGTCCAGATCCATAAATAAATCACAATCTCAAATCTGGATCCATAAATCCCTAACAAGAAGAGTTTAGAACAAAATTACAAATGGAGAAAGGAAAGAATGAGATGAAGGAAAAAAGGAGCAGAAGAACATCTTTAATTTCAATCTCCAATCTGATTCCTTAAGAGTTGAAGTCTAAAAGTCACCCCAATCTCTCTCTCTAACTCTCCTAAGAAGTGAAAATGAATAGAAAAGAAAAAATGGCAAAAGATTTCCTATTCTGAACTGTAACCACTTTTAATATTTTTCCTGCCTCTCTCCACATTGACACTTTAAACACTTGAAGTGTTAACGTAGAAGGTCTTCTAGAAGCTTCCTAGGTTGAAGTGGGTACTTTAAAAGTCCAAAGTGATCACTTAAAAGTAGTTTTTCCAAGTTTGTTTGTGCGCGTTAACACTTTGAACACTTGAAGTGTTAACGCGTAAGCCTTCCTGCTTAATTGAATCTACGCGTTAACACTTTAAACGCTTAGAGTATTAACGCTCAAGCCTTTTTCTGGTATAATTGTTTTGTGTGTGTTCACTTTGAACACTTGAAGTTGTAACGCGTAAGCTCTTATAAGTTTTAGCTGCTAGAGTATTCATTTTGAACACTTGAAGTTGTAACGCGCAGGCTCCTCTTTGATTTTCACCTCCAAAGTGTTGACTTTGAACACTTAAAGTGTTCACTTTGAATTCTAAATTTTTTGAGAACCTCCATAGTTGTCACTTTATGCGCTCAGAGTGATAACTTTCAGCACACATCAACTGATTCTTCAGTTTTTAGCCCAATTCTTCCACTTCATTTATTCTCAACTTCAAAACTTCCATCTCAAACTTCTGCACAAATTTACCTTTTTAGCAGACTTATATCAGAATTGAAATAAAATATAAAATTCTAAGCTATTCAAAGAACTTTAAACATGAATGCAATTTTTATGGTATTTTCTATTTTATTTATTATTTAACTACTTATTTACAACTAAAAACTAAACTAAAATACTAGCAAAATGAGGATTTATTATTCTTTCTCCCGTTATTTTAAACCAAACACCCTTTGAGCTTGTACTCAAACAAAAACATGATTTTTCCATGCTTAAGGTCTTTGGTTGCTTATGTTTTGCTACACAATACACCCCACAACACAAGTTTGATGCTAGATCTTGTAAGCGGACTTTTTTGGATATGAAAATGGGACAAAGGGGCATGTTGTTCTTGACACAAGTAACAAAGAGATTTTTATTTCTAGAAACGTCCTCTTTCATGAAATAATATTCCCTTTTCATACAAACAGCCCACAAACTCCATCCATAAACCCAAATACAAATTGCCCACCTACACCACTTGATATCCATAAACCACGCTTGACGCAAAACACTTTTCATAACTGCACCACCCCAACACCTCTTGATGAATCTACCATCTCCTTAGAACCAAACCTTCTCACGACACCCTTTCCAACCACTTCATCCTTTTCACCTCTAAACCTAGAATTTTCAACCTCTAACACTCCTCCAAATCCCTCCTCACTAATTCCTTCTTCTCATTCACTCAACTCATCGCCACTTGACAATCCTCTTCCACCTTATCGCTCAACTCAACCCAACCAACCACTTTCTTTTTTTACTGATTACAAGTGTGATCTCCCTCCTCTTAAATCCACATAATCATCCTCAACGTGCTCTTATCCAATTCAGTCTTTCATAACATATGCTCAAATTTCTCCCTCTCATCATTATTACCTTATGTCTTTGTCATTTGAATTCGAACCAACGAGTTTCCAGGAGGCTGTCCAACACCATTGTTGGAGAAAAGTCATGAATTGTGAAATTGACGCCTTAAAGATGAATAAGACTTGGGATATTGTTCGAAATCCTCCTCATGTTTGTCTAATTAGATGCAAATGGGTTTACAAAATTAAAAGGTTACTTGATGACAACATTGAGCAGTACAAAGCTTGACTCGTCTATGCCCATGAATAGCTCTCTTTGCCTCTATGCTAACTCCTCCGGTTCCTTCTCCCATAACAAAGGTTGGTTGAATGCTTAATCTATCTCACTAGCACTCAGCTTGATATAGCATTTGCCACACAATAGTTAAGTCAATTCATGTCCAAACCCACAAAGGCACATCACAATGCTGCTCTCAAAGTCCTTTGTTATCTTAAAAGTTGTCTTGAAAAAGGCTTAGTATTTCTCAGAACTTGCAGCACTCAAATGTGCAGTTTTAGTGATGCAGATTGGGCAACTTGTGTGGACTTCCACCACTCCATCAATAGATACCGCTTCTTTATTAGAAATTCTCTTGTCTCATGGAAAACAAAGAAGCAAAATATAGTCTCTCGTTCCTTTCTGAAGTTGAAGATTAAGCTTTAACATCTGCCACATATGCATTATAGTGGCTCACTTTTCTTCTCAAGGATTTGCGGATTGCTAGTTCAACACAATCCCTCCTGGTCTCATGCAGCTACTCTCGATTTCCTCTTCTAATCAACTGGCAGACATCTTCACCAAAGCTCTCCCGCCTCGCTTCTTCAATGTCAATTTATCCAAGCTAAAGTTAGTTGACATCTTCCTACCTCCAGCTTATGGGGGACTAATAGAAGAAGAAGAACATAATCCAAGCTTAAACATAACATAATACAGCAACTAGTACTAATCTTATCATTTCTATTTTTTTTATTGTACATCACACATATTCTAGAAACCATGAGTTGTCATTGTACAGAAATATGCTTTTTTTTTTCTCATTATTCCTTCTTATCCTTTTAGGTCATTCATTCTATATATATATATATATATATATAAGTTGCAATCATTGTCTTGTTGCTATATACTGCAAAATATACATCAATCTTTTCTCTTTATTCTCATTTTATTTCCTTTGTCTGTTAGAGTTATTAAATTATTATTAAGTTTAGGTAAATATATAACTTTTTGCTTAAGATAATCTATGTGCTCAATACTTCGTGTGTGTAGTCTCATTCAAAAATTAATAAGAGTCGCCAATTACAAAAGTATTTTTACGCCAATTTAAATAGATATGGGTTAGGTGTTAAAGGAAAAACATCAATATAAAAAGATTCAATATAAAAACTGAAAAGTAGTTTTAAAATTTGATCTAAGGTTGATATGAAATTAAATGCATAACGGTGATCAAAATCATACAATCACTCATGCCTATTTAGAATAAGATAAATTTTATATCAAGAAATAGTCTAATTATTATGCGTGCAAACCACGTTCTGACATATCTGATAAAAAAAAAAATTGTGTCATAGTTTTTTAGGGTTTAAGATCTAAGTTTTAAAGTTTAGTCTTCTATATTAACAAGAAAGACAACTCTATGCTAGATAGTTACTAGACTAGGTGTCCAAACTAAAAAACTTATCAATT